GAGAGAGAGAGAGAGAGAGAGAGAGAGAGAGAGAGAGAGAGAGAGAGACTTGTGAAGGCAGTATTGACCTACCTACTGATAGGATAAGGAGAGGAAACAGTCAAGTGTTAGGTTTGAGCTTCCATAACTGGTGTCGAGAAATGGATTTGTAGGGAAAGCTGAACTGCTTTCAAATTTTTGTAGTGCTGTGATTAAGCACTTGAGATTGAAAAGCCAGGTAGAAATATCCAGTAGAGAACTGAAAATTGAGACCAGGGAGCCTTCCAGCTCTTAGAGTATCATGGAACACCGCTGTTGCTTAAAATTTAAAAGAAGTATGAAGTAAGCAAATGGTGATCCGGTTGTTAAAAATTTATATTTTGGTGACTAGGTGATCGCTTATATCAAAATCTGATAAAATATACATTTATTGACTATTATGTGCTTGGCACTACCATGTGTTCTTAGTTATTACATTTGTGTGCATGAGTGTGTGTATGGTTTTTAAGCTCTATTAACCCATGTTCTTTCATTTCTGTGACTTGTTTACAGCATTTGTACAGTTTTTTCTCATTCATAACAATAAAATGTTGTTTAAACAAGTTACGATCAAGATTTAACAATGAAAACAGAATTTTTCCCTTTCTTTTAAAAAAATGACACAATTAGTTGTGGTACATGGAAGAGAAACATCTATTTCATGTCCCTCTTATGATAAGTGTTTTTTCATTGAAATTCCTTGATACTGTGTGTATGATTTATTTTCCAAGGCTTTTTAAAACGGCTGAAAATATGCTCTAACAACCATCTGATATGAAAAACTGAACAAAATGTGTACTCAGTTGAATGATTCTCTGAAGAAATAATGGTGCAAATGAATTATCAAAGTGTGAAATCATTAAAAACAAAACATGTTTGGGTTTTTATTGAATCTTAATTGCAGGCTTATGTATTTTCTTTTGTAAACTAAGTTAAAAGAAAATTGCCTATCTAAATTTTTGGAGGCCAGTGTTGTAGGACTTATATTGTACCATAATTTATTTTTCACATAAAAGCTGCTGTTCCTTTTTTCCCCCAGCATTAACATGCATGCTTTCCTCATGTAGGAGAATATATAAAAAACTGGAGGCCAAGATATTTCCTTTTGAAGACAGATGGCTCATTCATAGGATATAAAGAGAAACCCCAAGATGTGGATTTACCTTATCCCCTCAACAACTTTTCAGTAGCAAGTAAGTTAATTATAACTGTTGATTCACCTTGTATTTATTTATTTGTATGGCCTTATGTGTCACATATCATGGGATATATGAAAAGCCTATGAAAAAGTTTAGGTTTGTATTTAATAGAGAAATTTTCCGCTTGGATAGAATTTCAGTTCCTTAGCCTAGGGATTATCGATAATATGTGGTCTTATATAATGCAAAATAGTTTAATATTTTTTATAGTTAGAACTTTGTGATAAAAACAATTCCTCAAATACATACCTCAAGTTTTTCTCTATAAAGTGTAAACAAAGACCTTTGAACTTGGTTGCTGGACTGAACTTCGTTGTAAGATGTTGCAGTACTTAGTGCATCTCTAATCAAAGTTTCCTATCATAATTGTAGCTCTTTTGATGGATTGTATGATAAGAAACAAGTGATTTACATTAGACATTATTTTCTGGGGAGATTTTATGTTTGTAGTAAATTTTTCTTCCTTACAAATATCTAAAAAAATGTTTGTAATTTAAACTTATTTAGAAGTTCTATATTTGCTTGAACATAGCACAAAATAAACTGAAAGATAATGATTATAATTGTCATGACCAGGCTTTCAGATTGTTCAAATTACTGATTAATCAATGAAAGGAGTTTTCTGTGTTAATTTAGGAGTAAAGCATTTTAAAAGTTATGTTAACTTAAAACAAACTTGTGTAAGAGATAAAGTTTGTACCATTGGGATAAAATCTTTAACTAGACACCATTCTTAATTTTAATTTTGGCTGTATGTTGTTATCTATTAGCCACATTTAGAAAAGATGTGAGGGAAAATTAAAGCAAAAAAATAAATTAAAAATATAATAAATTGCAACATCAGAAAATGCAAGGTAGTAAAAATCCTTGAAGATTATAAAAGTCATTTTATCATTATATAGAGCCCCAGTTGTTTTTATGGATACTTTCTTTCAATTTTTTTAAACAAAAAGGTAAAACAGTAAACCAAAGAGTTTGTGAAATCTTACTTAAAAAATAAATTCTCTGTTTATATAAGTGGATTGTTCCGTAGGGAATTTCATGTTTTAAAAAGTGAGAATACTGTTGTATTTGTGTATTAATTAAGAAAATAATTTTTTCTCTTCACCAAATTTATGGCTTTCTTTCAGAAGAAAATTATTTTAAAAATCCTATTGTCAATTGAAATAATATCTTGTACTTTGTATTGACTTTAAGAATGCATTTTCTTTCTAAAGATCTTTTGTGCAAGCATTTGCTTTAAAGTGATAGAAATTGGCTTTTAAAACATAAGCAACATACATTATCATATCTGACCTAAAGCCAGTATGGTTTCTTAGTTTCTTCTATTTTACTAGCAAATGCTATTATTGGTTTGTCTGAAATAATTTATAAAGTACAGAACTCCTGTATCTGCTGATCAAAATGCAGCATTCTTTGACCTTATGAAATTTCACACCTCAACAAGTTTTAAAGACATACTGTATGTCACAGTCTGCCAACATCTGCTCTGACACTTCCACTGGCAGAGGCTGAAATAAATGCTGCACTCTTGAGGAGAAAACCTATTTAGTGACTGACAGTCAACTTATCCATGAAATTAATATTAGTCGACATCTGTAATCTTTGTTTGTATAATCAAGTAGTTGTGGATAGTTGACTCAAACTAATAAGTGAAGTTATAGACCGGCTCCTTAATTTTTGAAAGGGTGTTAATGTGGATCTTACACTAAATAAACTATTTTAAATTGATTATTTTTAACGCCTGACGTATTGCAATTGTAAGTTTTATAAATAATAATTATCTGAGGAAATAATGTGTAGTGAAATGGGCCCTGGTTGAAGAAATAGTTCAAATTTAAGCTCCACCAAAAGCCATGAGTATGACCTTGGGCAGGTCATTCTCTGAGACGCTGTGGTCTTTAGTCCCTTCATCAGCATAGTGAGAACATCTGGATTCAATGAATTTGTAAGGCCCTTTTGTCTCTAACATTCTGTGATTCTGAGGGGAGTTTGAGCAGGCTCTTGAAGAGTGAGTAGGAATTAAGCAAATTAAAATAGAGGTGAAGGATATTCCAGGCAGAGGGTAACAAAGAATGTTTTCATGAGATATTAAGAGAAGGAACAGTTGGAGCCAGAGAGGGTTACTCCACTAATAGTTTCCCTTTTGTCCTAGCCCACTTTAGTGTATGAAAAAAGATACTCTTATATGAAAAAAGAAACTAGAAATACAAGGTATTTCGAAGCTACTTTGGGAAATGTTACATATACACATGTATTCCATTCATAGCTACAATGAGTCCCCTATTTTTCCTGATAATTAAAAATGGTACTTCAAAAATTAATCTTTGTGGGTGTTAATGAAATTTTACCAAAATAGGTTTTTTATCCATATGAAAAATATAAAGTATGAGAACTAGAAGGGACTTGGAATTGATCTTTCCAATCTTCATGAAGTTTCAAATTCCTTTTCTTCTGATTTAAAATTTCCAAACAGATAAGTCTTTATACTAGTTGTTTCTACTTTCCAGTCCACTGCAGCCTAACTTGCTTTCTTACTCACTTGATTGAAACCACTTTTTAGTAAGTTCTCCAGTGACCCCTTAATTGCTAAGACTAGTAGACATTTTTCAGTTCTTTTTTTCCTGAATTTATATCTGGGATATATTTTATACTTCTGATTACTACTTCCTTTTTGGGATGATCTCTCCCATTGTGTTCTAGGATGCTTTTCTTTCCTGGTTTTCTTCCTTTGCCTATTGCATGCATTTTGATATCTAACTGGATTCTGGCCAAGGGCTGTTCTCACTATGTACCCTCTCCCTGGATGGTCACATTCACATTAAGGTTTCAGTTACTCCTATTATGCAGCTTGCTCCCACACTTATGTATCTTCAGGGCAGGCCTCTTTTCTGAGCATTAAGGTACTATATTCAACTGACTGCAAGACATCTCTACCTAGATATTCTTTTGTAGTCAACATATCCTAAGCTGAATTGAAGATAATTTTGTCAACTTTCCCCCCTGTAAGTCTCACTACCTCAGTTCTGTCTTGAGCAGAAACCTGCCTTCCATGCCTTTTTTTTTTCTTCAAATCTTCACCCCACTCCCAATTCATTTCTAGTCCTGCTGGTTTTGCTTATTTCTTTAACTTACGTCCTTCTCTGTAATCACCCTCGAATAAGCCCTCATCATCTCTGCTATAGATTCTTAACTATAGATCTCTGCCTGTAGTTTCTACCACTCATATTCTTCCTTCACATGACTGTCAAAGTGATCTTTCTAAAATTAAGTCCTAACTATGCTGCTTCCCTGTGAAAGCCCTGCCCTGGATCTTCATTGCCTACTGGATAAAGTCCAGATTCCTTCTATATCACACGAAGATCTCCTCAATCTGGCCTCTGCTTTCAACTCTTGCCTCATCTCTCTTTTGCTGTCCAATTATACTTTGGCAGTACTGAACTGCTTATAATTCCCTATATAAACTATGCTGCTTTCCTACTCTGAGCCTTTGTTTTTGCTGTTCCGTCTGATTGGAATGTCCTTCTGTCCTCTACTTGCCGGAATAATTTTTTTTTCGTCCTTTAAGACAATTCAGATTTAAATCCCTATCCTCATTCCTTGCTAAATTATTCCTCTCTGCTCTTTACAATGCCGTTATCTTTTGTTGTTATCACGTTGTTTCTTGGTTGTCTTGTTCATGTGTATGTCTCGTCCACTAATCTGTGAGTTATTTTAGGGGAAAAAGCCTAGTGTTATATCTCCTAGTGCCTACATACTAGGGTTTAATAACTGTTTTTGAATGAATGCCTGAAAACATCTAGTCCAGATTTCTTCTTTTTTAGATGAGAAAAAAAAAGCCTTTGAAAATTCAGTGATCTTTTTAAGGTTGCCCTACTAGGTAGTGGTAGTTAAGTATCAAGATTAAAACTCAAATCTCTCTACCATCATTTAGGTGTTATCTCCCGCTCTGCGCTAGCCCCTTGGCCCGCCTCCCCCCACAATTCCCCGCCTCTATTCTGTGACATTTTCCCTATCTAGAGCTTTGAGATCTGATTTTGGGTCAGATTCCAACTCTTAAATTCTAAATATCCTTTGGCATGTGGATTGTAAACTCTCCAACACCTATAAAATGCGGATATCAGTATTTGACCTTTATCCTTTTTTGGGTGGAGCAAATGTGAACTATATGTGTAATTGCCTTCTAGATATACTATAGAAATGGAAGTAAAATAATATTTTTTTCAAGGAAATTATATCTCTAATCAGAATTATAGTTAGGTAAGTTACTAATTATATATTGAGATTTATCTTGGCATAGGAAACATTACACTTTGACTGAAAAATAATATAGGATACATACAAGCATTGTTGCAAAGCTATTTTCAAAGGTACATTGAGCACAATAGCTTGTCTACCCAGTTAGTAGACATGGTCTGACATTTTGACAGTTATTAGCCCAACTCAGAAGTGGGAACAAATGCCCAATGGAGAACTTGAACATTTGCCCAGGTCTTGAGGCTTATCCTACTTTTGCTCTAATCCTTCCTCCTCACAGTGGTGGGAAGGGAGAAGTGCCAACCTGTGTCCCCAAGAGCACCTACTAGAATTCTCCCTTATTCCATGTTGCAGAAACTGGCCCACTCTGACAATATCCCTTTCCTCTCTGAAACCTTTCTTCTATCTTCTTCTATCTCTTTTAAAAAAGAAATTGGTCAGTCTGAACTTCGTAGGCCAGTTTTAAAAGTGAAATGACATGTTTACTCACTAATCTGTTTTTCTTCTTCTCTTTGAAAGAAAGTAAGGGAATTATGGGACTTTAACCTACCAAAAACCATTTTTACCTCTGAATAAATATTAGAGATTTTAAATGTGTAGAAAAATCAATTGATTCCTACTAATGCTTTCATTGTTGTTGTTCACGGAGATAGAGAAATAGCGTATGACTTGATTCTTAGTCTTACACAACATGTAATAGAAAAGTCTGCAATCTAGAAAAGCAATCCTGTAAATCT